AAAAAAAAAAAAAAATTGCTTGAAATTTAAAAAGCTATTACAATGTCATTAAAGGAAACTTGCAAAATAGGGAAAAATAATTATCTAAAATTCCTCTGCCCTAACCCAAACCCAACTATGACAGCTTTAATTTATCCTTTATATATATGTGTATATATATATACACATATATATGTATATATATGTATATGTGTGTGTATATATATATATATATTTTTTTTTTTGAGACAGAGTCTCACTTTGTCACCTAGGATAGAGTGCACTGGCTTCATAGCTCATAGCAACCTCAAACTCTTGGACTCAAGCGATTCTCTTGCCTCTGCCTCCCAGGTAGCTGGGACTACAACACCTGGTCATTTTTAGAGATGAGGTCTTGCTCTGGCTCAAGCTGGTTGCCAGCCTCAGCCTCCCAGAGTGCTAGGATTAAAGGCGTGAGCCACCGTGCCAGACTTATTTATGCTATTTAAAATATTGTTCAAAACTAGTATTGGAGAGGTCACATTCTTACTATGTGAGCACTTTTCGGGCCCTCGCTTATTGCATCATGTATGGGTGTGTGATGGCACCACAGCTAGTACATATGCTAACCAGTAGAACTAAGAAGTGGCCTGGCTTGAGAGCTCTGATTACAAGGACAGTAGTGACTAACTGAAGCAATGAGGTTCTCTTTCTTGGAGAGTTTAGATGTGAGGCACCCAGAGACAACAGGGGGTCAAGCAGAAAATAGTGAGCAAAAGCCATCAGATGATAGAAACTAGGAGGAGGTGAAAGGAAGTCACCCGTAAGCAGAGGCTTAACTTGTGGTAGAGAGAAAAAACAAACAGCTATGGCAATGAAGACAGTAAGCGGCTGGCACAGCACCATGGCAGAGCACACAGAAGGGAGCCTGGGCACCTAGTACTAAGGACGCACAGTTTAATGAGGGGACAGTCTGAATAGCCTTCAGGCCTCAAACAATATTTTATTCTCTGCATTGTTTGACTTAGCTACAGATGCCATTATGCCCTGTCTCCCTACTTCCCTGCATGTCCTTGCAATAAATCCCTTGCCAACAAAGGAATCTAACTTTGTTCATTGCCCTCTGAAGAAGCCCAACATAATAACTGATGTGAAATCATGTGTACTGCTTAAAAACACATATTAACAGTTAAATTTTGCTAAACAGAATGGATACTTATCATTTTAATAACTACAGTATTCCAATGAGTGTCTATTATTTAATATTGCCCTCATTTCTAGACCTGTAGAATTTCTGATAGTTTTTCCTGAATTTGGTGTGGTGTGGTGTGCAGGATACTTATAAATTGTTTCCATACCTGTGGAAAAGCAGTGTGGTAGGGAGGATGAGGGGTGGACTTAGAATGCTGAGCCCTGGCCTAGGCCTTTCCAGCCAAGGGGTCACGGGTAGTTTTCTTATCTCTACTAGGCCACATCCATTTAATCTATGAAATGAGTATAATTAAAATATCTATCTTTTAGAGTGGTTGTGAGAGTCAAATGCAACAATCTTTGTCAATTGCTTCTCTAACTATAAAGGGTCACAGAAATGTTATTAGAAAATCCAGAAAAAGAATAAGTGCACTTAAGAATAATGAAAAAAGGACACATTTACAGTAATCACTTGTTGCTTGCTTATGCATTTATACCCAAGACTTTTTTTTTAACTTAATTTTTCTTTTTCTTTTTTTTTTAGAGCTGGAGTCTTACTCTGTAGTCCATGCTGGAGTACAGTGGTGCAATCATAGCTCACTGAAACCTTGAACTCCCAGACTCAAGCAATTTTCCTATTCTCTTGCCTTGGCCTCCCAAAATTCTGGGATTACAGGTGTGAGCCATAGCACCAGCCCATCTTTTCTTACTTCTATATGTAGAATGTATTCCTTGGCTCACAGCCTGTTCCTTTATCTTCAAAACCCAACAGCAGAGCATGTCCAGATCTCTCTCTCTGACCTCTGCTTCTGTCTTCATGTCTTCTCTGACTCTGAGCTTCCTGCCTCCCTCCTATAAGGGCCTTTGTGATTACATTGAACCCACTGGGGTAATCCAGGCCAATCTATCGCAAAAGTTTTTGACTGAATCTGCAGTCTTTCTTACCGGGAAAAGTGACACATTCACAGACTTCAGGATTAGGACTTGGATATCTTCTTTGTGCCTGTGTATGTGCATGTGTGTGCAGGGGTGGTTATTCTGCTACCAGAGCTTCAAACCCTGCCTGCTGGCTGTTTGTCCAAATCCTAAGTCCTGGGCATCTATCAACTCACACTCCCAGGCTATACCTATGGCTGCTACAGCCACAATCACTGCTTTGCCACCAGTTGTCACCATCACTGTAGCTGTTGCTGGTCCACTACCCTAGCAGGAAATGACACCAGAATCACCGGTTGTCAAACACAGCCAGAAAGTGTAATTTACAAGGCCCTGGAATTCTTCCACACAGAATGGCACACAAAAGGGAGAGAGTTCAACCATGAGCTGAGACCGATTGGCCAGATAACCAGCAAAGTCCATTGCTTGGTTGTCTCAGCTTTCATTCTTACCTTTTTATCCAGACTTAACTTCCATACACAACAACAATAACAATGTTATGCTCTTCCTTAAGATACAGTAGCAATCCTTCATACAAATGAAATGCTTTGGTACTTTTTTGCCAAATCCTATTGGTCACTGTATCCACTAGTAGGTGATATAAATTGTCTTCTAGTCTAGTTCCAATCTCATCTGTACAGTCTGGAACCTAAAATCTAAATTGTAAGTTAACCGTTCCTGCTGGAAAATTAACAACATTCTTTCTATAAAACAATAGGGGAAACAGAGAGGGACAAGGAATGATTAGTGAATATCTAGAAATATATAAATACATATATAAATATGAAATATAATACAAATAAGGAAAAAACATACCTGGTTGCTATAGGTCTTGTTTCTACAGGGTTGCGTGTTGGGGCAATTGGCATCCAATCTGGAAAACATAAAACATTAGATGAGTACTTTATACTTATGTCAAAATAAATTCCACCCAGATTAAAAGCTGAAGTGCAAAATATAAAACTATTTGAGTATCAGGAGAGCAAAAGCTGTAATTATTTATACACGTTGGGGAGAATGGGGAATTATTAAACTTGGTACCTGATTGGATGGGTTTATAGAGTTATCCTCCCAGAAAACAAGGTAAATTTTTAAGCTAAAATCCTCTTTTTCTAAGGAACCATTTCCCAGTCCCACCATGGATATTTGGTTTGAACGGGAGGTGTCATCTCCTCATGTGAAACCCCTTTTCACCCCATCCTGGCCACAATGGATGGTCTAGGTGAGTTCCTCATTCAAGCTGGGCTAGTCACTTCTCTGCCACCAATTTAAGTCACCTTGAGATTCTTTGAGTCCCTCTCTGTTCATGAAATCAAGGACATGCGTGTTCTGGCTCTGCCTTTGGAGGTGATTCTAGTCTTCTGAATATCGTCATAGTGAGAAAGTAAAGGTGTCAAGAAGAGAAAAGCAAGTTGGTGATGCTTGTCCCTGTTTCTTGTCATGTTGTAACACATCCCTATCTTTTCTGGTTATGGGAGTTAATTCTCATTTTTGCTTGAGATTATTATTATTATTATTTTTGAGACAGAGCCTCAAGCTATCCCCCCCTGGGTAGAGTGCTGTGGCAGCACAGCTCACAGCAACCTCCAACTCCTGGGCTCAAGCAAGTCTCCTGCCTCAGCCTCCCAAGTAGCTGGGACCACAGGCACCTGCCACAATGCCTGGCTATTTTTTGGTTGCAGCTGTCATT